GCGCGCTAACCGGTGATGAGGATGTTCGGGAGCAGCATAGTCCCGGGCGCTGCGGGCTGGCGAGCGACCGTCAGCTCGCTCTCCGCACACTCCGCCGGGCGGAGCCGGAAGCGCCTCACGGCTGTGGCCGCCCACCCCCCGAGGGCCAGGGCTCCCCAGCGCTCCGGACTGGCAGCGCAGTCCAGCCACGGCCCTTGGTTACTTTACCTTTTATAAAACGCTTCTAACATATACTCAGACCCGGAGGCTCAACTCTAGCACGGGCTATGACAGGCAGTGCGCTGGGCACCTAAAGCGCTCGCTCCTCGGCGGCCCCTCCCTTCGCGCTGCGTCGCGGGAGCGCCGGCCGGCGTAGAAGGCCCCCAGGGGCTGGGCCTCTGCGAGCCTCGGCGCTGACCGGAGCGGCCTGGGTGGCTGCACATCCGCCAGGAGCAGAACCCGGGCTCCTCCGCTCCTCTGCGCCCACGAGGGGGATGCAGCTCCTGGAAGGTAAGAACGCTGTGTCTGCGCCTGCGTTTACTGTATGCCCGAGAGACGTTAGGCCCCCTCTCCCTTTGCGCCTTCCTCGGGCTCTCTTCGCTCCTCCTCCCGACCCGCCCACCCCGTCTGGGTCGGAGGAGGATGAGGGGGACTGAGAGCGCTGGGCAGGAGCCGGGGCGTGTGAGCTCGGCCCTGCGCACCGCTGATTGCAAGATCGTCGGGGACGAATGCCTGCGCTTAGTACTCCCGTGCTGCGCACCGTGTGAGGCGTGGTGGCTCTGCTGGGAATAGTCTTGAAGCTTCGTCTCCTCTGTCTGTGTGGTGTGAGAAATCCGGTGTCATCGGAGACCCGTGCCTACTTTTTAAAGTAGGTAACTGTCAGTCCTGTTTTCAAAGCGTAACTAAGAGTCTTGACATTAACAGCAGTCTGCCTCCTTTATTTCGACCTGCCACCCGCACTTACTGAAATAGACTTTTCTTTTGCACCACTGTGCCTTTTAGAAATATCACAGTCTGTAATCCACGAACTCTTTGGGTTGGGGGAAGCAGGAGCGATTGGTTTTCTCGCGTGTGTTTGCTTTATAGGCCGTGTTCCTCCAAGCGGTGACATAGCCCCGGACACCGTCAGTGTGCACGTTTGTTGGCTTAAACTTTTCTTCTGGGTAGTTAAAAATTATTTAATTCACTAGTTTGCAGAAGCGTTTAAGAATTATGAAGCCTGAAGAACAGTGTTGCCAAGAAATTTCCTAATTTTCATGTTCAATTAAGGAACTGTTATAGGAATGATTTGCAGTAGGATTTAAATTCTTTATACAAAGTGAGCGATACGTCTGAATGTGTTGTATCTTTTTTAAAAACGTGGAACGAATTTGCAACTATAAAATGGTTTACTGTTCAAATAGGATTGTCTAATCTTTTATTACAAAAAGTAGGTGCACAATACTCACTTAAGCAGCACACGTACTAAAAAGTAGGTATATGAATACGTGTTTTGTTTAGTTTTTGAGACAAAGTCTTTCTATGTAGTTGAGGCTGACCTTGAATTTGCTACGTAGCCCGGGCTGGCCTTGAGCTTGTGGAGATAGATCCAGCCCCTCCCACTCCCCCTAGTGCTGGGAATACAGGCATGTGCCACCACACCCGGGTAATGCGTGGTTTTTCACTTTACTAATTTATTACTGAGTTCATATGAAATTTTTTTTCATTTAGAACACCACAAGTGGATTGTTTCTGTAGGTAGTCACTAAAAGTAAAATTTATGTACCATTTTGGTGTGTTCTATGTTTATTCTTTTACATTAAGAGCTTTTATATTTGCAGTTTTGAGCTTTTTTATTATGTTGTTGTTTATATCAGTGTAAACTGTTCAGTAAAAATTCAATATGTACAGTTTTTCTTTATCTGAAGTGGTTTCTCTTCTTTTCTCCCCTAGGTGAATTATACTTTAATGTATTACAGGTTGTGTACTACGGATGGAAACTGTTAGAGTTTATAATGTCAAAAACTTTTCTTAGACCAAAGGTATCTTCCATGAAGGTATGATACACTAAAATGGCCATGTTATAATAGAGCAAAAAGAATTATAAATTTTTATATGTTCTTACTGTCTTATCACATTGTCCAAGTATCTGTTGTAAGTAGTGGTCTGAACAAATCCGCTAATAAGTTGTAAAACCACAACCTTAATTTTGAAAAAGTGTTTTATCATCCCGGTCACAAAGTAAAGGCTGAGACTTCAGAATTAAAAAACATAGAAGAGAAACATATATGTGTGGCCATTGGTGTTATAGCTTAACGGGCCTTACCTCTTAGAAGTCATGTGGTTCAGTTTAACAGTTTTCAGATATGGGTCAGGCACTATCATACAAGATAGCTATTTCCCTAGTGTTGGCTTTAATTTTTTTTTTTTAGTCTTAAGTAACTTATTTAACTTCACCATTTCACTTATTTTTTTAGTAGATGTGAGTCCACATTTATGTAAGAAATAAAATGTATGAGTAATATACAAATCAAAATTGCTCTCAAAGGGTTTGCTGACTTAGCTGGATGTGGTGGCTCATGCCTGTAATCCCAGCACTTGGGAGGCGGAGGAGGAGGATCATTATGAGTTCAAGGCCAACCTCAGCTACAAAGTAAACAACCACAGCTGCAAAGTAAATTCAAGGACATGCTGATATGCATGATGAAACCCTGTCTCAAAAAGACAAATAAACAAAAACAAAAGGTTTACTGTAACAAAAATATTTTCATGGTGCTGGGGATTGTAGCTCAGCAGCACAGCTCCTGCCTGGCAAGTGGGAGGTCCAGAGTTCATTTTCCAGTAAAAAAAAAAAAAACTTTCATATAATCTGTTTGAGATAAAGTCTTCCTGTGTAGTCCACACTGGCCTTGAATTCATTATGTAACCCAGGCAGGTCTCACACAGCAATCCTGCTGCCTCAGCTTCCCAAGCACTGAGATTATAGGCACATGCCACCACACCTGCTTTCGTGTACTCTTAAATAGAGAGGAAAGGCATAAGTATAGAACTTGTGACAATCTTTTGACAAAGAGAAAATGAATTGGGTAGCAGAGATTGAATATTTTTTTCAATAGTCTTTCTTTACCCACTGCCAATATTTCTACCCCATCTTAAAAAAAAATTGAAATATGAGTGAGCATTCAAAAAATCTTCATAAGCTGTAACTTCCCTTTCCTGAGCCTTTCACTTTCAGCCTTTTTTTCCTCCTCCCTCAGAGAAGCATTAACAGCTCACAATTGTAGATAAGTGTTCTTTTATTATATAGTTATACATATTAATTGTACAAAGTAATGGATTTCATTATGACATTTTTGTATATACATACAAAGCACAATGTATTTATTTATTTTTGGTGATGCTGGGAATTAAAGCCAAGGCCTGTGCATCCAGGCAAGTGCTATGCCACTGAGCTACATGCAGGCCCTATAGTGGAATATTCTTGAAAGCTTGTTTGGAGGTTCTGGCAGGAGAACACAATTGCTCATATACCCCTGCGCTAAGAAATGGTCCCTCTCTATTGGGGATGATCGTCCTCTTGGACCTGTCAGGAGGCTTTGAGAGGGATGTATGAGTAATATACATCCTTTGGGAGGGATGCACATGGAGCAGTGAGGAAGGACAGGGACACCTGCCTAGCCAGCCAGATCAACTGAATCAACCCTAGAAATTGATAGGGTGACAGATGTCTCAATGCCAGATTGCCCTCACATCCCCTGCAGTGGAGTATTCTTGGGTTTGTTTTTTGAGATAAGGTTGCACTATGTAGTTTAGACTGACCCTTAACTCACTAGCCTAGGCAGGGTTTGAACTCATGATGATCCTCCTGCCTCAGCCTCCCAAGTGCTGGGATTGCAGGCGTACACCAGCATGGCCTGGCTAAGATTTCTATTTTGATGTTATAAATATATGAATATTTTATTTCCAAAATAGTTCAGTTATGTAGAAATATATGAATATTTTGTTTTCAGAGTAGTTCAGTTATATGGAAAAATGTAATAATATTTACATAGTGTCTTTGTTTCAGGTGACAGACTGGGTAGATCCATCATTCGATGATTTTTCAGAGACTACGCCCTTCTCTGCTATTCCTGCCACATCTTTAGGTGTGAATAACTCAAGTCACAGAAGGAAACATGTGCCTTCCACATTGGAAAGCAGCCGAGCCCCAGCTAGGAAAAGAGGAAAGCGATCTTCCTTAGAACAGATTTATGGTCCAGAAAATTTCAAGGAGTATTTGTCTGAAAATGAACCATGGGTAGATAAATATAAACCAGAAACTCAGGTACTAAATAGCATACAAATATGTCTGCATAATTTAATTTTGGGGTAGATGGGAAGGAGGGAAATGTCTGTTTTCATGTTTTTACTTGTAAGAACCTTTCTCAGTGAAGTCCAAAAAAAAAGTTTCTAGATGTTTTTTTAGTTTTAAGGCTCACATTTTATCAACTAGTGTTCGGAAGTTGTATCTTTTGTCCTTTGTCTTAAATTTAATCTCACCCTTTGTAGAATTTATTTAGCTATTTAGTTAGTTGCTAAATGCAATACCTATCTCTCTTCCCTTACCAAAATGTATTTCTGGGTTGTAAAACATTTAATAATTACAAACTTTCCTATTGATTGTATAGTGATTTCAGCATAAGTCATTAATGTAAAAGTTCAAATATAATCAAAAGAACCTATTACAATAGCATATTACTGGCTTGCAGATTTCTTCATTGAAAGTGTTTAAATGTAATTGGTGGTGACATATCAAAAGTCATTCAGTTAAAATGTTTTGTTTTAAACCCAAAATTTTTGTCTTAGCATGAACTTGCTGTGCATAAAAAGAAAATTGAAGAAGTTGAGAACTGGTTAAAAACTGAAGTCTTGGAAAGGCAACCGAAACAGGTAATTAAATAAGAAATATGTTTTTAAAAATTTGGCATCAATAGTTTCCCTGCCTTAGTTGGGTGTGGTGGCGCACACCTGTAGCCTGTAATCCCAGCACTTGGGAGGCTGAGGCAGGAGAATTGTTGCAAGCTCGAGGCCAGTCTGGGCTACAAAGTGAGCTCAAGACTAGCCTGAACTACATAGCGAGACCTTGTCTCAAAAGGACCAAAAAAAGAAAACCAGTTTCCCTGCCTTACAGTAACTCAGAGAAAGGGAAGTCCAGATGCCCACAGGAGCAACCTCACAGCCTGGTGGTGCCCATCCTCACTAGAAGCCTGAGGGTTGGGTGCTTCCCCAGCATTCGTGTTCCTTTCTACATCTTAACACCCTGCTGTCAGCATAAGGCACAGTGAACCGACTGGACTGCTAGCTGGTTTAGCACATTAGTTTATCTCACACTGAAGCACGCAGGCAAATTACACATTAATTTTTTACTAAATATAGCCCGAAACAGTCATCATTCATTTTGGACTGGTGTTTTTTTGTTTCACTTCCTAAATTTGCAGTTGTTTTCACACGTCAAAAAAAAATTCTCTCCTTTCTTAATCTCTTTTTCAATTTTTAAACTCTTTTATTCTGTCAAGCATAAAATGAGACAGATGTGTTTATCTATCAATAATATGCCCTCATTTTTCTCCCCTAAGTATTGTATAGTAAATTATAAATAAATATTGTGACATTTCACCTTTAGATACTTTAACATGCCTCTCTTTGAAAACATTTATATAGGGCTGGGGATTTAGCTCAGCGGCAAAAGCGCCTGCCTGGCAAGCGCAAGGTCGTGAGTTCGGTTCCCGGTACCGGAGAAAAACCAAAA